GTTATGCGAGCTGCATTGGTTGCCAGTTTATTTATTTATACATCACATTTATATAGCTCCCCATCTCTCACAAAGTTCACTTCCAGATGCAATTCAAGTGCTGGTTATTACCTATAAAGCCAAAATCAAACTCTAGTTAGCCAGATGGGCTTGACATCCAGACGAAATGAAGTAGCTACCATGCATTTATACTTCCAATGAGGCTTGGCTACTTCCAGTTTGATATTCTTCTCACTCCATCCAATGGACATGGAAATGATTTCACTTTTTGTTTTGGGAACTATCTCTTGTTCTGAAAACCATTTCTTGTTGAATCTTTGTAAAGGTTTCCAATCTGGTACTTTTCCATATGCTGCATAAACTGAAATCTTCCAGAAAAAATCCTTCTGCCTTTATGGCCTGCATTGAGTGGGTCTCATGAACTATCTGTCATACATGCCCATTCATATAAATACAGTATATGCCACAAGCAACCAAACACTTGTAGATCACTGTATTTGGTACCTGCATAGTAACACTGGTAACAACATGAAACAGAATCAGTTTGCTTCTGTATTTCCCCCCAACCACTAGTGATGCAGAACATATAGTTCCTTAGGTATTGCAGTACTAGTTTCTGAATTCAGAGATAGACTTTCTGTAATTGTCTTCTCAAAGGAAAGAAATTTTTAAAAAGTGGTCACCATGCAGAAAACCAATGTATTAAAATCCTAAACAGTTCCTAGGCTTCCTAAAATGAAGCATTTTAATAATACTATTCCAATCATAAAATAAGATATATGTTTGTGTATGAATGATTTACATACAATTGCATACTGCTGCAAATAACATATATGTGATATACTGCAATGGAGAATTACCAAATGAATAAAGTTGTTATAAATATTGCAACAGAGTTTGTCATTACACACATAAAGTACTTAGATGACCACCTTACTGGAATAGCGACCAACTGTCATTCCAACTATCTAATAATCAATATTTTATTATGGTCACAGACCAGAATTACAAATAAAATAGTCATTCCAACTATGCATACTAATATTCAACTAAATTTTCCTATATTAATTTGTATTACAAGATACTGAATACAATTCTTATTTTATTGACAGACATCTGGACAATTGAATATTGTTTTTGTTATTAATGAGCAACAAAATGATATTCAGAATAGTCATTATTTTGGGAAAATCATCAACATGTTTATTTTCTTTATGAAAAAAAATTCCTCACAAAGTCAATGCATTTAATAAAAAATGCTTTTTTAAAAAAAGGCAATTAAGGCTCAAGTCTATAATATATATTGCAATATTAGGAGGAGTTAAACTGAAGGAGTTAACATTCAGAAAAGTCCCCTTTCTTATATGTGAAAACTGTAGCTCATGATAATTGCATTATATTTTTCCCCACAGCTTACATAGAGAAAAATTTACCGCATAGTTTAACTCTGTGCTAGTCAAGAACAACCACTGCCACTGCTAGTTTAAACAATTCAGAAGCCTTTCAGTTGTAGGATCATGACCCAGATAGGGGGAAAAAAGCTGTTACCACATACACCTACATATCATACACTGAAAAGCAAAGAGGCATGAAAACTAAAACTCTCTTTTGGATATTGCTATGCTATCTTTTTGCAGACATTATCAAGGCAGAGAACCTTCCAAAGAGAGAGCCCCCCGATAAAGATCTAATCCAGTGACTGGAAGCCCTCAGCCAGAACATTATGTTAGTCATGTTCCTCTATTGTTCATCCTCAACAGATAACATTCAGTAGCATACTCTCTCTATATTTAAAGATTTCATATAGTTATCAGTAGTAGCTGATACTGTTAGCTAAAGTGCTCTAATAATCATTTATAATCATCTACACTAGACTTTACTATATGTTTTGGTAACAAATTCTATAAATGAACTTGTTTCCAAGTTTGAGTTTTTTATTACATGAAAGAGAGAAAGTATTTTATAATCCACTTCCTTCATGCCATGCATTCACTTCCCAAGTAGTATATCATATATATATATTCCTAATTTATACTTAGAAAACCCTGAGAAAATTTGCAAGTTGTCCTCTGATATAGAAGGTAGTCTTACCCCTTGGTATTTTTGGAGAACCTTTTTAGATAAGGCATATTTGAAAAAAACTAACATTTTTCCATTTTTCCCTAATAGAAAAAGGAAAAATCTTGAAAATAATATTTTAAAAACCTTAACAACCTCCAATGAAATATTTTAATTTAAAATAATGCATTAAGAAAAGGTGCTCATTCATTCAAACCTTTATTTCTCCAAACTGTTTCAAAAACAAGAACAGTTGTATCTACAGAGCACTCCAGTTTGTATACAAAGAGGACCTACATGTGAAAGAAACATCTTAACACTAGCAAACTTCAGTTATTAGAATCAAAAGATTTTCAAGAAAATAAAAATAAAGCTCATTAGAATAAAAAGTGATAGAGATATAGGTAGTGACAGCTTAAAAATGAGACTGAATAGACGTAAAAGAAAAACTTAGGCAGTGAGGCTTTGTGTTTTCTCTTGTTTCTCTTGTTTTTCTTAGTTCTCTTCCTAAAATATGAACTATGCAGGAAGCGAAACCAGAATGCATAACCATTTTATTATGTTCATGGCTTAGTGTTTCTTCACTTCATTTCTGATGATTCTGGGTTTCTTAAGTTCTGCAGCTTATACTTTTTTTTACAACAAAATTTAAATTATTTTATTACTTAAAATTATTGTTCAGTTAATAAACTATTATATAATTATACTTTTACAGTCAATTAATATACAGTGGGGCAAAAAAGTATTTAGTCAGCCACCAATTGTGCAAGTTCTCCCACTTAAAAAGAAATGGGCCAAAATACCAGCAACAGTGTGTGAAAACCTTGTGAAGACTTACAGAAAACGTTTGACCTCTGTCATTGCCAACAAAGGATATATAACAAAGTATTGAGATGAACTTTTGATATTGACCAAATACTTATTTTCCACCATGATTAATGGGCCAAAATACCAGCAACAGTGTGTGAAAACCTTGTGAAGACTTACAGAAAACGTTTGACCTCTGTCATTGCCAACAAAGGATATATAACAAAGTATTGAGATGAACTTTTGATATTGACCAAATACTTATTTTCCACCATGATTAATGGGCCAAAATACCAGCAACAGTGTGTGAAAACCTTGTGAAGACTTACAGAAAACGTTTGACCTCTGTCATTGCCAACAAAGGATATATAACAAAGTATTGAGATGAACTTTTGATATTGACCAAATACTTATTTTCCACCATGATTAATGGGCCAAAATACCAGCAACAGTGTGTGAAAACCTTGTGAAGACTTACAGAAAACGTTTGACCTCTGTCATTGCCAACAAAGGATATATAACAAAGTATTGAGATGAACTTTTGATATTGACCAAATACTTATTTTCCACCATGATTAATGGGCCAAAATACCAGCAACAGTGTGTGAAAACCTTGTGAAGACTTACAGAAAACGTTTGACCTCTGTCATTGCCAACAAAGGATATATAACAAAGTATTGAGATGAACTTTTGATATTGACCAAATACTTATTTTCCACCATGATTAATGGGCCAAAATACCAGCAACAGTGTGTGAAAACCTTGTGAAGACTTACAGAAAACGTTTGACCTCTGTCATTGCCAACAAAGGATATATAACAAAGTATTGAGATGAACTTTTGATATTGACCAAATACTTATTTTCCACCATGATTTGCAAATAAATTCTTTAAAAATCAGACAATGTGATTTTCTGGATTTTTTTTCCCATTTTGTCTCTCATAGTTGAGGTATACCTATGATGAAAATTACAGCCCTCTCTCATCTTTTTAAGTGGGAGAACTTGCACAATTGGTGGCTGACTAAATACTTTTTTGCCCCACTGTATCAAATGATCATTTTGCGACTAAACATATATACTGTACATAATGCATTTTATGTACTTAAAGTAGCAAAGAAAATCACCATCAGTAAATTATTGTTCCAATCCTGTCGTTCCATTCCTAAGAATGTATGGAAGTTGCTTTTTACATGAAGTTGAAGGTTTTATTAACTATTCATTATGATTCATGATTTTTTTGGCCTAGTAAATTACAATTAGTAGAACTCTGACCTTCCAAACAAAAATATCAAATTGTCTTCAGAATCATGTATACTACCAGGAGGGGAATGGTTTGATGGTCTAAATATAAATGGTTTAAATATAAATACTTGTGATTTGCAGTTCTTTAAAACATAATACAATGATTATTAAATTTGACTGAGAGGTAATTATGTTCAGTAACTCTGTCATGACATAATTAAAAAGCTCACTGTATCAATACTTTCCTCTCATCCTGGCATATACATGACATGTTACAAGCAACATTAGAAGAATCTCAACAACTCACTTAGGGCTTATGTGTGTATTAGAACTAAGCTGATCACTAGATTCCACATTTTCCCAAATGTTGCATCAGTGAGATAATGCACATATTTAAATACATATATGTTGAAATTATACTTTTTAAAAATAAATGCTGTAAATAAATGCAGAATATAGGTCAGCAATAAACAAGGCAATGTCTCTAACAATATTTCTTTGAAAAACTAAATGTGCAACATTTTATTGCAATAAAAAAGGCAGAGCCTAGGTGCAGCTTTAAATTAATAGTACAGCTGTGAAAAGGTATTAAATATAATTCTTTAATAAAATGTTCTCCCATTTGTCCAAACAAGTTTACTCCTTTGATTTCCTTGTTAAATAATTAATCTGAGTGAAATAATATATATAATGGACTCAAGCTATCAGTACTGATAATTTTCATTTTCTTTTTGTTTAATTTGTCAACACTAACAGAAAATACCCGTAACTGAGATACTTCTCAGTGAATCTCAGAGAATTTCCTTTCCCAGGAAAATTTTGGGATGTACTGTACTTATGAGAAATATAGTAAAGGAAAATAAAACTCTACATAGTAACAACTGATGTTTACCTTCAGTACTTAAGCCTGGACTTGAAGTGAATTTTGCTACATCGACAATCTTTACAGCAAACTGTTGCCCAGTTTCTCTGTTGATACATCGCCGCACAACACTGAATGGACCCCTAGAAAGAACAACACCGCTTAATTAATTTAAAAGTTCAGACACCCCTTTTTTTCCATACAACTTTATTATTTTTCATTTTCAATTTAATTTTCATTCAATTGGCATTTTAAGAGGTATAAAGTGTTACAAAATCATTTTGTTATGTTTTGTTAAAACTTTTATTTAGGGAACAGATTGTAAGAAAGTAAAATGTGTTACCAATGCTACCTTACTAGCCTTTAGACTATACATATGAAACTATTTACTATCTTTGTTGCTACCGAGTTTAAAATCCACAATTCTATACATTTGGATTTATATTTTTATTTTTCCAAACTCCAAACTAACTTAGCCCCTTTAAAAACAAAAAAACAAGGTGGAATTTTGAAGAAATTCCAGAATTTAATGCACAGGTGCAATCTTATATATGTTTGGGAAATTACAAACCCTTTAGTAAATGGTTTTACGTTTTACTTAGGTAGACATCAAACTCATTAAATAATAGATTACATTTGGGCATCTAAAACTTTTAAAAATGTTTTACAAGGGGACATTGCACTTATACTTATCATGAAACTCTGGTCTTTGCTTTTAAAATAGATGAGAAACCCATATAATTGGCATTTTAATCCTACATTGCTTTGTAATGTATCAGCAAAGCAACAAATAATTTAAACTCTAAGATTTTTTTTTTTTTTAGGAAAATGACATAACACAAGCCTCTTTAACAACAAAGTGGGATATCATGAAGATAGTCATAAGAGAGGAATGTATAAATTGGATGAGCAGGATAAAAAAGAGATTGCTGCAAATTATAAATGTATAACATGCTGATAAGAAGGGATTTTTTTGTTTTTGTGCCTTCAAGTCAGTATTTGCTCCTTTTTTGTGTCTTCAAGTCAGTATTTACTCCTTCTGACTGCTTGGGCTAGTCCCTGAAGTTTTCTTGGCAAGATTTTCAGAAGTGGTTCTCAGTCCTAAGGCTGAGAGAGAATGACTGGCCCAAGGTTACCCAACTGGCTTTGTGCCTAAGGTGGGACTAGAACTCATGGTCTCTGAGTTTCTAGCCTGCTGCCTTTAACCACTACACCAAACTGGCTCCAAAAAATAACTACAGGGAGTCCTTGGCTTATGGTGGCAAGTGGGACCAGAAAAGTGTGACATCACATGACTGCGCTGCTTAGCCATGGTAAACTGGATCATTTCATATTTACAGAGAATAAAAGAAAAAACTTGATGCCTTAGAGATAAAATTGCTACTCAACTGTTATTTTTAAAGCATAAGTACTATGAATTTGATAAAAAGAACTCAAGAACGTTGGCAAATAAGCTAAACAAAGATAAAAAAGATTCATTACAGGTCTTTGCTTGTTCAGCGACTGTTTGAAATCATGATGGTGCTGAAAAAGGAGATGTGTGACCTGTCCTCAAACTTGAAACCTTCGCAGCATCCCTGCAGTCACGTGATTGTGATTTGGGCGCTTGGCAATTGGCATGGATTTACGAAGTTGTAAGTCGCAGTCATGTGACATTGTGCTTAATGACCATGAGTGATTTGCTCAACGACTGCAGCTGGAACTGGTGAACTGACATCCTAAGTCGGGCACGGTCACATTTCACCTTATGACCGTGTCACTTAGCGATGGAGTTGCTGGTCCCAATTGCGGTTGATAAGTGAGGACTACCTGTAAAGTGATTAAGAATACCAAAGGTCAAGTTGCCACTAAGAATTTTTAAAAATAATTACATAGATTGGCAAATTCAACATTCACTAAAATTAATCAATACTTAAATCAGCTAAATTTTTTAGAATTATCCACAGAAGATACTCAGTATATAGACATTCCTTTCTTTAATACAGAGATTACAGATGCTTTCAAGAGTATTAAGGACAGGAAATCTCTGATGGGCTGATAGGAGAGTTTTACAACAAATTTAAAAATGATCTTATAGCAATCATTACTTGATAATACACTGCACCAGGGTGGTTTTCTTCCTACTTTCTGGAAAGATTCCAAGATAATTTTAATTCCTAACCCACAAGAGCTAACTACTTATAATGCTGTAAATAAATAAATAAATAAATAAATAAATAAATAAATAAATCTACTTATAAGCCCCTTTTACTTCTTAAAGCAGATTATAAATAATATACAAAAATACTGGTGAACTATCTTATATCAATTATAAATAGGATTATTCAATCTGGTTTTAATACACATAAGAAATATATTTACTCTTTTTAGGAAAATGTTAAATATTACAACTTTTTGCAAAACTAATGTGATTTCTCTAGTTATATGTTCATTGGATATATTTAAGGCATTTGACTCTTTGGAGGGGATCTTTTTACAACAGATACAGTACTAACAAAATTTAAATTTGGGTCCTAGTTTCTCAATATGACAGTGCAGTGCAGACCTATACTTCCACTAAAGCACAGATAAGGCTCAAAAATTATGTTTTAGATTCCACTATAATTTTGAGAGGCACACCCAGACTTTTTGCAGGTGGGTGGCCTTAATAGATCTAATAAGTAAATAAAAATTAACAAGGATATCCTTCTCACTTCTTTCATTCAATTCGCCTTTAGAAGCCTTAAAAATGCATGGTGTATCATTAATCAAATTCAAAGGATTACATTTGGGGATAATTCATAACTACTAAGCTTATTTGCTTAGCATTTACATTGTATATAAATATATATAGTATTTACATTGTCAAAGCCTAGTTTTTGAGCCAAATATGTTAAAGTGGACAGATTTGTGGAAGTATTGGGCCTATCCGTGAATTTTCAAAAATCACATTTGAGGTTTTTCTATATTCTCTCCACAACTCCCTATAGAGGTATCTGATGTTCAAGGATTTCCCACTGCATGCAAATTCTTGAAAAACTTATGGATCAACACTACCAAGAATAATAATACAAAATGTTGAAACAAAATTACATGTTTAACCCCAGCATAGAAAAAAAAAATAAAGAAATAAAAAGCTGGACTAAATGATTTTTGAATATTTTAAGCACGATAACAGCCATTAAAATGAAGGTCCTTTCAAAACTTAATTTATTTCAATCCCTTCCATTAGGATACCATCCCTCCAAGATAGAATATTAGTGATATGGCAGAAGAATGAAACTTTTTATTTCTTAGAGTAGAAGCGAAAAATCAACAGAAGAATTTTATATTGGTTGCAGAAAAAGGGAGGCTGGGGAGCCCCAGATTTAAAAATGTATTAGCAAGCAGCATAATTAGACCATTTAATTCAATTTATACTAGAAGATTGGACTAAGCAGTGGACTTATTCAGAGGATATGTCAGAACCTGATAATTTAAAAAATTATATACTTTTTCAGCCAAGGAGTTTTTCAAAAATTAATGTCTTTACCAATAATGTAAAGCAAAATTAATAATGTCTTTACCAAGACAATGTTTCAGATCTGGAAAAAGAAGTATCCAGTATTAATAGATGGCATCTCCCCTCTAAGACCTCCATTTACCTTTTATGGGGACAGAAAATCAATATGATTAACTGAATTAACATTATTGAGGAATTTTAACTTCTACAGGATAAATGACTTTTATAGTAATACAAGGCCAAGTAATAAGAATGAAACTGAACAATGTACTATCTGTTGGCTATCTTGGTTCTTCTGCCATCAGCTTAACACTGCATTGGACAGAGGAACCAGGAACTCCATATCTTATCCATATGCTATCTTCGACAACACTAAAATATTTGGCACAATTGAAAGGAATAATATCAAGGATTTATACACTATTATTGCAAATTGAGACAGAGGACCCCCCTAGTGGTCTAAAAGATGCTTGGGAAACTGATTTAGACAACACAATAGTTGAATCAAAATGGAAATCACTATGGAAATCAGGAAAACTCCTTTCTGCCTCTCTTCAAGAGTTGCAGTGGAAGGTGCTACATATGTAGCACTTAACTCCAGCTAGATCAGCATATATATTTTACACAATCATTCTTCAAAATGCTGGAGCAAAAGGGACCATGTTACCATAAGTGGTAGTCACATGATGAAGGAACACCTTTTTGGTGGAAATGTTTTAGTGAAATTAGTATTACTAAAAATCAAAGGGTCAAATGCTCCCCTGAGCTAGGACTGTTAACGCTTATTTATATGATTCAGCGCTACACTTATAAATAAGGAGCTGAGTATACTTGTTTCTGGCAGCAATTATTATTTTTATAATTATTGCATAGCATGGGAAATTTCTTGAAAATTTAACAATTTGTGGATTAATTTTTTTTTCAATGGTCTTATTAGAAAAAATTACTAATAAATTTAGAAAAATGAATCTTCAGAGGCAAGAATACACTTTTATCAAACCGGAGCAGATTATATTTATTATATTAATCACAATAAGCCTAATCTTGTCAATGCTCATGATATATGGAAATTATGAACAACTTTCGATTTTTTGGTCAATGGTGCCCTTTCTCATTTTTTCCCTTACAACATTATATATTCTTTGTTTTCTTTTTGGATGTCAATTACTATTTAATTACAAAAATAATAAAATATTGGCTAGATGATATACAACTGTTAATTCAAAATTGGCTGAATGACTGACTGTACATCAACCCTGAGAATAGTATTGTGGAGTGTCACAAGGCTCTAAGGCCTTGTCCTGTTCACTGATTTTATTAATGATCTGGATTAAGGGACTGAAAGAATGATGATGACACAAAACTAGAAAGAGTAGCTAACACCTTAGAAGAGAAACAGAAGGTTCAAAAAGGTCTAGAAGGGCTTGAACACTGGGCTAAAATGCAGGATGAAATTTAACAGGGAAAAATGTAAATTGTGGCTTTGGGGGGAAAAAATAAAAGGGATATATGTGGGCTGAGGAAAACTGGTTTACAACTAGCACATGTGAAAAGAATCTTTTATTCTAGGAGATTACCAAATTGAACATGAACCAGCAGAATGATGTAGCTACTAAAAAGCAAATGCTACTTTGGAATCTATTAAGAGGAACAGAGATTCCA